GGCGGGCCTCTGCCCCGGCGCGGCCGCGTGGAAACTTACCCGTGCTCGCCCTCCCCGGGCACGGTGGGGCACCGGGGCTGCCCCTGGCCCCCGCTGCCCCCACCGCGCCGGCGAGCTCCCCTCTGCGGGCGCCCCGTAGGCGGCGGGGGGTGGCGGCGGGGGACACGCGGGGAGACGCGTCCCCGCGTTTCCTCTCAGCGGATGGAGCGGGGGGGGGGGGGGGGGCCGGCTCGGCTGCGCGGCAGGACAACGAGGGGACTCCCCCGGCGGCTCCGCCGGAGGGCCCCCCCTCCCCCGTGGTCCCCTCCGCGCCCCCGCGCCGACCCCCAGGGCGTTGCGGCGGCACCGCGGGTTGCGCTGCCCCGGCCCGGCGGCCCAAGGGACTCGTCCGCGGTGACGCCCGCGGGGGGGGAGGGTGCTCGGCGTGGGCTCCCGGGCCGGGCAGGGAGGGGGGCAGCGTGTGGGCCACGCCGCGGAGCCGGGTGCGCGGAGCACATGGGCGCCCCGCGTTACCTGGTGTGCGCCACGGTCCCCTGCACCGCCACCAGCTCCCCAAATAATCCTCAGCCCCGGGGGGTGGGGGGGGGGAGGGAGGGGGTGAGTCCTCCCTAACACAAACCTCCCACTGAGCGAGGCGGGGTGGAGAGCCGGCCTGGGGTCTGCCCCTTCACATGGCGATGTCTCCGGCAGGTCCCGGCAGCGGCCGCCCGGGCCACACAGGTAGCTGCTCCGCGGCTCGGCCGCCCTCGGCTCGCATCCTCTTGCCGCCGCCGCCGGGCTGCACCTTGGCGCAGAAGTAGCTCGCACTCGTCCCCCAACCCGCTCCTCCCGCCCCCACCCTGCCCGGGGAAAAGGAAAATGCGAAATAAAAATCGCGGCCGGCGGCCCCCAGGGAGCTGCAGCGCCACGACGGCAGCCCCGCCGGCCGCAGCCTGCGGTGCGGGGCTCGGGCACCACCGGCCCTGGGCGCCGCCGCCGCTCCGCCGCTGCCCCGGCGCTGCGCTGCCGCTCCTCGCTCGCTCCCTCGGCCTCTGTTCTGCCTGGGAGCAGCAGCAGCTTGCTGCCTTTTTTTTTTTTTTTTTTCCCCTCTCCTCAACTTTTTTTTTTTTCCCTTGCTTTCCCACGCTGGCTGAATGTGACTTGACCCCGTTTCAAAAAAGTTTGACATAGTGCTTCAACATTTCCGCATTCCTCCCCGACTACAAAGGCTGCAGCCGCCTCCTTCTGCTTTCTGTCTCTGCTCTCTGTCTTCACACTCAATGAAATCCTTCATGTGCCCCTGCCAAAGGCAGCCGCATACCGCAAGGGTCGCCGCGAGCGCCGCGGCCAGGCATGGCCTGGGGCGAGCGCCCCGGGGGGTCCCGGCAGGGCCCGGCTCGGCCCCGGCCCCGGCCCGGCCCCGCCGGGCTCGGCGCTGCACGGGCGCGGGCTCAGCCGGCTGCGGCAGCACTGAGAGCCCTGACTCATTCCTAGAGCTCCGCGTGCGAGGCGCTGGGAAATAACCCTTTTGGGGTTTCGGGTTTGGTGTTTCCACCTCCCCACCCCTCCCCATCCTGAGAAATAACCTTTTTTTTTTTTTGTTGTTGGGTTTTTTTTTCTTCTTTCTCCAAAACATCGCGGATTCTTCTGTGCCTTTTTTTTTTTTTTGACTACTTTCCGTTCACAGAGAGCGCAGAGCTCCGGCAGGAAGTAAGCGCCCATGAATGCTTTCGGGAAGCATCAAGAAACTTCGTTGGTGGAGAACACCCCCTCGCCCCTCCAGCGAAGTCTTTGCCCCAACAGGATTGCAGCTGGAGGTGCACGAGGCAGCAGGGCGAGGATGGCACGGTGTGCGGAGGAGCTGGGCGTGCAGGCTGCCGGTTCTCTGATGCAGAGAATGTTTTATATGGAGCCGATTCTTACAAATACTGAAATTCACCACAGGAAAAAATAATCACAAAACAGATACCTATCTACTCTGTCTCCATGGGAAAAAACACACAGCCTAGTTCCCAGTTCTCCCAGCTGGTACCCTCCAGCACATGCTCTTCTGGACCTAAAGGATGACTATGGTCCAGCTCCAGAACCACTGCTTATAGTGGTTTAACTGGGAGAGGGTGGACCCAAATCCCCTTATACAACTGGAAACATAATTTAACTAAGTGGGCTTATAATTCAAAAAGGGTATGTCTAGGACTTGGCATTATACACTGATTTAGAATAACTAAAAAATAGATACATAATACTGCACAAACAAAAAGAATTCATATCAGAAAGAAGCATATAATTTCTGACTCCAGCAATTCCACATGCCCTTCCAATTTCTGAGAGGTTTAGAAGCAGCACCTGGAGGGGGGGTAGCAAGAGGAAACTGGCTGAGGGCAGAAGGGAGAATCCTTATTTCCCCTGGAGAAAACAGGGAGCTGGTACCACTCAAGTCTTCAAGGAAAAGGCCAGTGGCATGTGAGTGCTTCCAGGAGATCATGCATATTTTGCAAGAACTTAATTTATGCTCATATTTTAGTTTTAATTACAGAAGTTCCTCATCAACTTCTGAAGTCCATGATTTATCAGAGAAATATTCTGAAGTTAATGGCAAACCCCATAACCTTTAAATGTGAAAGTGTCACAGATTCAAATACACAGATCAAATATTTCTTTTTAAAAGATGTGAAAAATCACATCACATTACAAGGTTCATATATACACACACTACCTCCCTTCATTTTTCTGTTTCATAACATTCATGGATTTCTTAAATGTATATCCTTTCCTTTCCTTTCCTTTCCTTTCCTTTCCTTTCCTTTCCTTTC